ATCCGCTTCCGCTTTGCCGGATTCCAAGGCCTCCGCCGGCTATAGGAGCTGCCGTCATTGGGATTATAGCTATCGCCTCTGCCAGAGTGCTCTGTCGCTACCGTCAAGGATATCATCTTCCGCTCGGACTCCTAGGCCTTTCCCACCCCTAGGGCCGCCGCTGCCGATGGGATCTGCCTCCACCTAATTCGCCTCCTCCTCGCCGAGATATTCACCAGCGCTCAGGACGCCCACCGCCGAGGAGGTCTTCAGACTCCCAAGCAAATGCTGTCGCTGGGACACAGCTGCCTACAGAACCACCTCCCTAGATCCATCTTCTCCTTGCAGAGGACTGCCCGTATATGCTTGGCCGCCACTGTCCTCTGCCACACCCACTGCCGCCTAAAGGGACAGCGCCGCCGATGCCTCACCGCTAGTCGTAGTCCTCTCGACCACCTCCACTACCATCACCATAGGGTCCCGCCACCGCCCTACTTCGGTTCCAAGCTCTAGCAGTGGTGGCGGCACTAGGGCTAGAGGAGGGAGAAGGGGTCGGGTGGGAGGGGACCCGTCTTCGAGCGCCGCCATCAGGCACAAGCACTACTACAAAAAGGATTTGTGGCAACGACTCCTTTTTTTAGAGGCGGCTCAATCTAAAAGCGCCCCTACAAATGGTTCCCTACATGAGTCACCACTACAAATCCATTTGTAGGAGTTGCTGGTGTTATTAGCCACCCCTACAAATGGCCCTATTTGTAGGGGCGTCTCTATATCCAGCCGTCCTTACAAATGAATTTGTAGGGGCGGTGTGAGGCTACCTAGTGGGGCCATCTGGGACTAAAAGAAAATTTTACTATTTTTTTACCCATATTTGTGATTTTTGAAAAACGGATTTGTAGGGGCGACTCTATATCCAGCCGCCCCTACTAACCGATTTGTAAGGGCGGTAGGTGAACCGTCGCTACAAATTGTCGATTTGTAGAGATGGGGTAGTAGGGGCAGCTGGTCAAACCATCCCTACAAATGGTCTACAACCGCCCCTACAAAGTCATTCTGTAGTAGTGAAGCATGGACACCACCTTGTACGTAGAGCTCTGCTTTTGTTGCCTCCCGTCGCCGGATCCGCCTTCCCCTAATGTGGATCTAAGAGACCATGCTGCCCTTCCTAGGCACCAGCGAACTGGGTCGCCAACGAACAGCATGGGAAATGACCGAGCACCCAACCATGAGGGCCCCGCGCGCTGCCATCGTCGCGGGCCTCTGGCGGCTCTCTTAGGCGATGACAAGGCAAGAGAACGGGTGGGCAATGAATGATAATGACCAATGAGTAGTCATTCAAAGTGGATTCATTTGTCGCTGTGATTCGACGAATGATAGTCACTACTACAGGAACCTACGGAGGCGGTTGGTATGTCCTTCATTTAGATCTAGATCTAGATCTGTAACACCCCAGTCTATTAGTAGCCTGTAGTAGTTGTGAAGTTGGCCCAAATGGCACATGTGGATTTGTTGTTGGTGGATTTAGTACTACCTTGAAAGTTTAGGAGGGTGAGAGCTAGCTTATAAGCCTTGTCGTTCCAAACGTAGCACCTCCGGATTAACCCTTTTAGATGAAGCGAGGACGAAAGTATAAGCGAGGTGCTACGCATATGCAGGCCCATTCCACGTGCGGAGCTGGGCCATATAAGCAGTTTTGGACACGGGGTGTTACGGATGGTATTCGGAGCATCAACCCTTGCTGCATGTGCCCGTGGAGGGGTGTACCAAGGGGTGATCCTAAACATCTACCACAAATATGTGGTGAGCTGCCGAGGGCGTCAACCCTTAAGGGGGTGAATGTAACACCCCAGTTCATTAGTAGCTTGTAGTAGTTGTGAAGTTGGCCCAAGTGACACATGTGGAGTTGTTGGTGGGTTTAGTACCACCTTGGAAGTTTAGGAGGGTGAGGGCCAGTTTATAAGCCTTGTCGTTCCAAACGTAGCATCTCCGCGTTAACCGTTTTTACGAAGCGAGGACAAAAGTATAAGCGGAGTGCTATGCTTATCTTGAGCACGTTCCACGTGTGGAGTTGGAGCCATATAAGCGATTTTGGACGGGTGTTACAAGATCTATAGAAAAAGCACCCAAATGTTGAAAAAGAAAGGTGAATGAAGATTGAAGAGCGAGTAGCAACCTATTGCCATGCCCTCGATCCTTCAACAAATCCAAGGGCAAAACTTACCCCCTAAGCAATGCTCAATTTTTAGGGTTTTGGAGCTCAAAACCCGAAAAAATGGAGAAGCCATGAGAAAGAAGGGTGGAGGCGGCTAGTTGCTGCATTTATAGCCCCAGGATTAACCGAGGAAGGCAACATAAGTGCAACCGCCTCGGTTTATCCTATATTAACGGAGGTGGACAGCTGTAAGCACCCGCATCGGTTAATATTGGTTTAAGGCGACCGCCTCGGTTAATATGTTAAGGGAGGCGGTTGCATTACGACAACCGTCTTGTTTAATCGGTATTAACCGAGGCGGGCGCTTAAGGTTGCCCACCTCGGTTAAGGATTAACCGAGGCAGCCGCTGGACCGGCTGCCCGGCCACCGAATAACGGAGGCGGGCAACCAGCTCACCCGCCTCCAAGCCCCAAAGCCAAACGTTGTGCAAAATTTTTTGTGTAGTAATGAGTACCACCAATTTTAATTTTTTCTGACCAATATCGGTTACTGATTTTCGTGTGGTGGTATACTGTGTGCTCAACTGCACGCAGTGGAGCGAGAAGGTTTTAGAAGGCTGGGTGAATCTCATTATGCACAAATATTCTTCAACGACACAAAAAAGTTCTATTAAACTTCGGCGGCGAGCCTGGAAGGCCGCCTGACGTGGCCTGACGGTGGCTCTGCTACTGACTATACTGATCAAGTTTCGAGTATGGGCCATCTGTAATATGCAGATCGCAACACAATCACAACAGTGCATTATAATTGAGAACAAAAAAAATGCTGGTTTCTTTTTTTTGTGAACAAAAAAATGCTGGTTTCTGTGCCAAGGCCACAAAGGTGTCAGAAGGAAGAGCAAGAAAATCAGTCACAAAAATAGAGCAGCAAAGCTACAATGGCACTAAACTTACGACACCACATAAACTTTGATATATGTGTTAGTTGGACCATCATTTAGCTAGGAGATATTTTGACTTATCATTGTTACCTTGCCAAAAGAAATCTAGATCAATAAAAATCCAGATTTTTTAGACCCCCTTCGGTATTTCAAAGAAGAACAGATCGGCAAGCTGTGTTGAGAACCGAGTTTAATAAAACCAATCTAGCTACCTTCAGAATGTGCTTGGGCCTGTCCTGTCTCAGCCCGTCCTAGTAAAACGTCACTCTGAATCAAGCAGCTGAACGAGCAGGCGATTAGACGTGATTGATGGTTTCTCCAGTGGCTAAGGTAACAGCAGGAGTACGTTGTCATAACTGCAGAGGCGTGCAGGGCTGTGCCTCCAATTCGGATGCCATATGCGATGGAGCAACAACCGTGTTTTGGTGGCTTTGCATTAACCCTAGGTTTACATATCACGGATTCACAGTAACCTAGTTCTGCTTTACTGCTCAAGTCAGGGGAGAAGGATCGGAGGACGGGAATAATAAACGCCTGACACCTCAATACCTAGCATCATGATTTCATGATGAAAATGGAAAACCAATTGCATCGTTATGGAGTTTTGGTTTCCTCAAACTTGCATAGTTGCATCCCCTCGCCCTATCTAGTGTTTCACACATTTTTGGACCTAAATTGTGCTCATCACACATACTGTCCCTGCTTGCGTCTTATTGCCTACACACCCACCGGACTTAGCCTCTGTTGAGTGAAGGGCAGTAATACAAGTAGTTCATCAATGACTCATAATCTCTGGCAGTGTGCAGTATGCTATATGAAAACTTCACTACTTCCTCAACTAAGTCAGTTTCATGACTATATAATATTAAGTACTTGGATATTGGAATTGGTATTTGGGAAACCGACTAATTCCTCAACTAGATATAGATATTGTGATTGTTACTGAGGCTTCACCTGTCCTTTTCAAAATGAGTCATTAATATTTAATCCTGTAATGTAGAGGAACTCTCTATTTCAGTAGCAGGCCATCTCATCAATTCTTTCTACCCTTCTGCAACAGGCCATCAAAAAAGCAGCATAATGACCACTAATCACTACGGCAATGCCCACTCAAGGAGGCCATGATTATTGAAAGTAACTGCATCATGGATCAACAATCAGCCGGACATTATAAAGTTTCTTGATGCCCACTCTGAATGCTTCCCATTCCCCAAGACTAATGTTCGCTCATGATAATTAACATCGTTGTCATCTCTTGCCATATGGGCGCATCAATTAACAAGGCCGACACAGCTGCCTGGAGTGCCAGCAATGCTCACTTGCGCTTGGACTAAGAGCATCCACACCTCTGGCTCTGGTTTTATATTCAACTCTGCTTATATCCATATTGAAAGGCATTACAAGGTCGATCTGTTAAAATATTCTGGAGTACAAAACAATAATAACACTCAACACCAACTTAACTGCAACAACGACCCAAATTTCGCTAACATCTGAATAAACAGATCACATGGGCCAGCTGGAAGAAGTTACGCAACCAGTTCAGCATCCTCTCCACCAGATATAGTCCACATTTTCTTGTTTTTTACCTTTCAACCGGGTACGCCGTTTCTGGGGAAAAAAATCCCTGTAATGATTACATCAATCGGTCCATTGGGGAAATGATACTCAATTGCCAATCGTGGTGCTTTGGTGTAAAGCAGTGGCAGATCTAAGATTTTTACCAAACAGTATGACACACAAAAAATTCATAAACAATTCTCAAGCGACTGTGGGGGTGCCCGATGCATTCCGGCCTGCTGCGGCGGGAGTTACTCCACCCTCTCCATCCCAGCCGGCAGCCGGTTTTTCTCCAGAGGAGACTGTTGTGGCCTCGCCCCATCAGGTGGCCGCCATCCGCGTGCCCGAGGAGTCCATTGCTGGTGCCGATGTCACTCCGGGGGCAGCCAGTTTGCCTGGGGCTGCCCTGGAGGGTTGGACAAAGCCCTTCTCCTTCCTACTCGTGGACCGCTGAAGGATCCTGGGCCGTTCCTTAGTGGCCCTGCCCAAACTGGCGGGCCTGTTTCTTCTTCAACCCCGCTTGGGCCAAATCTGCTTGGGCCTAGCGTGGAGCATCTACACCGGGCCAAATTCTGGAGTGCTTCCGGGATTACTCTGTCTCCGTCCAGGTTGCGGCGACTGAGCCACAGGATGATGTGTTGGTTGAGGCACCGTCGTCTCCGGGGGCAGTGGCCCCTACCGCAGCCGAAGGGTGCCCCGTTCCGCCGCGGCATGAGGCTATTGCTGCTACCCCTCCTCCGTGTATATTCCCAGCAGCGGCGCCGGGCCAGGCTCCCCACACCTCCTCCCGTGGATGGCTCTCCTCAGGGGGTCTCTCCTAGTGAGAAGCTCAACCAAGTTTGCAAGCCAGTGGATAAGCTTCTCCCTCTGCCCGTGATCCAGAAGAGGAGAAGGAAGCGCCCCCCCCTTCGGTGTCCCTGCCGCGCCGCAGCCGGAGGGTTGCCGGGGCCAGGCCGTGTTCCGCAGGCCCGGTGATCTCGGAGGCGCAGAAGCGGGTGATGCGGCAGCTCGGCTTCGAAGAGAAGGAGGTGATCGACCCAAAGGCTCAGGATATTTACAGTAAGCTCTTTAGTCCAATGCTATCTGATTCCCATGTCTCTGCTATTGCTGCCATCTTTGGCTGGACAGTTGGGGAAGGGGAGCAAGTGCGGTCTGCAGATGTAGTTGCAGTGTTGTGAGGCTTTGTCTCCCTGCTCGGTCGATTAATTTATGTGTTTAACAATGAATCCTGCTACTCTCTTGATTTGGAATGTGAGAGGCCTCAACCAGAGGGATCGCAGAAATTCAGTCAGGGAAGTCATTCTTTCTAGCAATGCAGATATTCTCTGTCTTCAAGAAACTAAGGTCGCGGACATGTATCAACGCTTATTCGTCTCGGTTTTTGGCTCAGCTTTTGATAAGTTCGTTGCGCTCCCAGTTAATGGCACTCGTGGAGGGGTCTTGGTTGCTTGGAAGAGTAGCTCCTGTCAGGCTCTTGCAACCAGGGTGGATTCATTTTCAGTCTCTGTTCTGTTCTCTGAGCAAGAGGGTCGCAACTGGTGGTTCACTGGTGTCTATGGGCCACAGGCGGATGCTGAGAAAGTGTTGTTCCTGCAAGAACTCAGAAGCGTCTGTGCTTTATGCAATGGGCCCTGGCTTGTTACAGGCGATTTTAATCTGATTTATCAGGCCGAGGACAAGAACAATACGAACTTAGACAGAGCAATGATGGGGAGGTTCAGGAGATTTCTGGATGTTGTTGAGGTCAAGGAGATTCCTCTGTTGGGTCGCAAATATACCTGGTCTAATGAAAGGCAGTCTCCCACTCTTGTGAGATTGGATCGTGCCTTCTGCTGTATGGAATGGGAGGGCATCTTCCCTGATTCAGTGTTGCAAAGCACAACTGCTGGTGTTTCTGATCACTGCCCGCTTATCCTGGGCCTAAAAGTAAGCACCAATGGCAAACGTCGCTTCCATTTTGAAAGCTTCTCGACAAAGGTCCCAGGTTTCTTGGATGCTGTCAGTTTGAATTGGGAGGCTCCCGGTGCAAGCTAATTGTGCTGTTGAGCGCCTTTCTCTGAAGCTGCAGCGGCTTAGCAAAGGTCTGCAGAGGTGGGGACAACGTAAGGTGGGGAACATCAAAATCCAGCTTGGAATGGCCAAGGAGGTTCTTCATCGACTGGAAATCAAGAGAGATTCTAGGGATCTCTCTGAAAACAAGGACTGGCTGCGCAGGAAGCTCAAGCTCCACTGCCTCGGGCTTGCATCTTTGGAAAGAACCATAGCTAGACTGCGCTCTAGAATTTTATACCTCCAGGAGGGTGATGCTAATACTGCATTCTTCCACCAGCAAGCTCGGTTTAGAAAGAAGAAAAATTTCATACCAAAGCTTTAGGTGGGGGATCAGTTGGTGGTCTCTCAAGAAGATAAGCAAGCGGCTGTGCTGGAGTTTTATGAAAATCTTCTCGGGAAAGCAGAAGAGAGAGAGTTTACTATTGATTTGGCGGAATTGGGTGTTCAACAGCATGAGCTTTCCCTGCTAGATGTTCCATTCTTGGAGGAAGAAGTTTGGGCTACTATCAAAGATATGCCGATGGACAAGGCCCCCGGGTCCGGATGGGTTTACAGGTCGGTTCTATAAAACTTGTTGGAACATCATCAAGGGGGACTTACTCATGGCCCTGGATGCCATCTTTAGGGGCCATGTTTTCAATTTTGGGCGTCTCAACACAGCCTTTATTACTTTGCTGCCCAAGAAGACAGAGGTGGTGGAGGTAAAGGACTTTCGGCCTATAAGTTTAATCCACAGTTTTGCGAAGTTGGTAACCAAGATCATGGCTAACCGGCTGGCTCCATTGCTTCCCAATCTTGTCTTGGCAAACCAGAGTGCATTTGTGAGAGGAAGAAACATCCATGATAATTTTATTTTGGTCCAGCAGATGGTGAAGTCCTTAAATAGGACGAAGGAGGCTCATATCCTCCTTAAATTGGATATCTCGAAGGCCTTTGACTCGGTTTCTTGGTCATTTCTGTTGGAAGTTTTGTAGCGATTGGAGTTTGGACAGCGTTGGCGTGATCTCATTTGCCTAATTCTTTCTACATCCTCCACCCAAGTGCTAGTGAATGGGGAGCCGGGCGAGACTATTGTGCATCGTCGGGGCTTAAGACAAGGGGATCCCCTATCCCCTATGTTGTTCATTTTGGTTATGGACATTCTAAACTCTTTGATCAAGTAAGCCTCCATGAAGGAGCTGCTGCAGCCGATTGCCATTCATCAAGCCCGACATCGAGTATCTTTTTATGCAGATGATGCTGTGGTCTTCTTAAGGCCTCACAGGATTGATCTAAGGACTATCAGACATCTTCTTGACATGTTCGGACATGCCTATGTTCTTAGAACAAACCTGTCCAAAAGCTCAGTCTCTCCTATTCATTGTTCTGATGAAGAGTTAGCACTTACGGCTGCTGTCCTCTCTTGCTCTATCAAGGAGTACCCTTGTACTTACCTCGGGCTCCCGCTCTCTGTTGGCAAACCTACCAAGGAGATGTTGCTGCCTTTAATTGATAAGATAGCCGACTACCTTCCAGGTTGGAAAGCCTCCCTCATGAACAGAGCTGGGAGATTGGTATTGGTGAGAGCGGTTCTAACTGCTGCTCCCATTTACCTGCTGATCGCCATGGATCTTCCAAAATGGTGTCTTAAAGCAATTGACAAAAAAAAGGCAGGGTTTTCTCTGGAAGGGGCAGGAACAAGCAAACGGTGGTAACTGCTTGGTCGCTTGGGAAAGGGTGCAGCGGCCCCTTGAATTCGGAGGACTTGGAATTCATAATCTGGAGCTTCTGGGCTGGGCACTTAGAATCCGTTGGTTGTGGGTGCAAAAGACAGACCCTTCAAGGCCATGGGCTGGCCTCCCAATCCAAGCCCCATGAAATGCCCAGGCTCTTTTTAATGTTGCTGTGGATGCCATAGTTGGCAATGGGGAGAAAATTATGTTTTGGACTGATCGCTGGTTAGATGGCAATACCATGGCTGAGGTGGCTCCCAACCTGTTCAGGACAGTCTCGAAAGGAACTGCCAAGAGGTGAACTGTAACCCAAGCTCTCCAAAATAGAAGATGGGTCAGAGATATAAATGGGGCTCTTACAGAACAAGTTTGGGTTGAATATCTTCAGGTTTGGGACTTGGTGGAAGGTACAGTCTTGCAACAAGATGTACCTGACCAGTTTAAGTGGAAATTGACCCGTCAGGCTCATACAGCAGCAAGTCCGCTTATGCTGCCTTCTTCGTCGGAACAATCAAGTTCAGTCCTTGGAGAAGAATTTGGAAGAGTTGCCCCCCGTGCGTTGCAAATTCTTCATTTGGTTGGTGGTTCATAACCGGTGTTGGATGGCTGACCACTTAGCAAAACGGGGTCTGCCATACCCGGAGGTCTGCCCCCTTTGTGATCAGGCTGATGAAACAATCAGTCACCTTTTGGTTGGCTGTGTGTTTGCTCGCCAAGTCTGGGTTTCGATATTTCAGCTCTTGGGCATAGTACAATTAGCACCTGATCTTTCAGAGGGTCGTTTCTCTGGATGGTGGAGAAAAGTTGTCAGAGCTGTACCAAAAGAAGCGCGTAAGGGCCTCAACTTCTTAATAATCTTGGTGGCATGAGTGATCTGGAAGCACTGCAATGATTGCGTATTCGAGAATTCGAGGCCGAGCCTTCAGGTGGTGCTGAGGGATGTGAGCTTGGAGGGTGGTTTTTGGTGTTCAGCAGGGGCTTCAAAGCTCCAAGAGCTCATGCCCAGGTTGCTGGCCCTTGGTGCTTAGGCCCTTTGGTCGCTGGTCGTTTTTTCTTGTTCTTTGTGGCAAGTATCTAGATTAGTATGTGAGGTGGTGTGTGTGTGTGTTTGTTCTTTGTACTCAGGTTTGGGTCCTTCTGGACTCATGTACTGTTTTCTTCTACCTTAATGAAATGACGCGTAGCTCTCCAGTGTAGTTCGAGAAAAAAATAAAACCATTTACCGATTTGTTATCATAGTTCATAGAACCATAGATGGTATAATCTGTTATGGTTAGAAAACTCACATGATATGCATACCTGATACAAATGTTTTGGCAAACCAATCCCTGACCTAGTGATCTCTCTGATCTCCCAGATACAGGATCAATAATTAATTTAGTTCGCAGTTTTTTAGAAAAAAATAAGATTATATCCTAATATAATCTCTAAACCTGGTAAACGCGTCCTCCCCCCACCCCCACCACGAGTGTCAGTGCATGCGTGATAACCCATGTCGTGCGGGTGTCGAGAGGTCATCACGGTGTGGAACGACGGTGCATGAAAGCATGAGGTAGGTGGAAGTCTGAATGATTCATCAAACCCACAGCGCGGTGTTTGGGATTCACCGATCAGCAGTTTTTGTGATAGATAAATAGATGTACATATATGTATGTTTTGTATTTGCCTGAATCACAATACCCTGTAGACATACCAAGCATACCCTGTGGATCCACCCCTGGACGGAAGTGAACAATGCTTGGAGTATTATATATCAGATATTCAGATGTGAAATCTTATGACCGACTAACATTTGTTTTAACAGGTACACCAAACTAATGGCCAAGTGAACATATGAAGTTCCTCATACAGACTTTCTTCTTTAAAATGCACAGTATTTGTGAAGTTAGAGTTATGGCCGTACGTGTGTAAGACCGTGGCACGTGGATTCATGGTACGATTGTGTCAGTGCGAAATTATTAAGATTCTTGGTTTTAAAACACACGAGACATTTCTTGGTGTTTGACGACATTGAGCACAGAAAAAAAATATTTTGCCATGGTTTCTATTCAAATCTAAAGGTCAATATTTTGTAGGATGACCAAGCACACTTCTAGACCTGTACAGAATGACACCAATGGTCGGCTCTGTGCAGCGAGGCAGCAAAATTTTGTGACGTCCAGATATACCCAAGGAATTGCTCAAATTATGCATTTGTGAGAAAGCCAGTGCTGACAGAGGCGGCAGATAAAACGTACTGTACAGTGCTGCTCAAATTCTAAATTTGTGATGAAGCCAGTGCTGACATAATCCCTCTGTTCCTCTGCTACGCCTGCAGTTTTTTCACCATCGTAGATTACTGATGCCTCCCAATCCTAAATAATTTCAGCAAACTTTACCAGGCTTGATCAATTCCTATCTATCATATGGAACCTCCTAGCAGAGATCAGTAGCTCGTTCTGGTGCTCTTAGGTCCTTGTGCTCGTATGTATATGTATGAGCCATTTTATAAATAGGCACGCCTGCCACGATCGGCTAGTAAAGAAAGTTTGCCATTTATAATCTCAACCACTCAAAATGTACAATATCATCAGAGCACATGATTATGCCTAGCGGTTTACTACTCCATTAAGAATGAATATTATTGATTTTGATGTCACCCAATGTGCATTGCTTTATAATGTCATCTACACTCGGGCTGTATGTTGTGTGCAGCCAGTATTGAATTCTGATCTGCTTCACATTGGATGTCCATAATAACTAGTAATGATCTCTGACAGCCTGCAGTGTGCAATTCACTGCTACCTGAACTTCTACGGTATCATGGTGACACAACATATTATTCTGGAATGTCTTAATCCTAAAAGATTTTGAGATAATATATATATGAAGCAATACACTCTTCCATAGCTGAGTCGCCTTTAATTTCTCTGTGACAATTGTACAGTGCAATTCAGAAGCTTGTATCCTGCATCTGCATGCTAATATACATTTATAGTCCGTAGAATGGCCCCCAACTTTAATTTTAGCTTACTGCAATAGAACGCTTGAATGCACTGGCATAGTTCACCCAAAAAGGAACCATTTGACCTATCAAAAAAAAGGAACCATTTGATGAATGATACCAACTAATGAGCAGTTTATGAAAGCAGATTAATTTTTTGGTCGCTACAATTCAAAGACTGATAGTCCATGACTAATTGCAATTCTTTTTCCAATCAAAAACAATGACTATTGTTGTGGTATATAGTGTCTGTGAACTATACTGATCAAGTTTCTGAGTATGGACCA